TAAGAGAGATTACCACAAACACAGGAGGAATATGTCCTGGTTGTACCTCTCACGTCTTTCTGCCATGAAGGAGTTTGCCTACATGAAGGTAGTGGGCTAAATCGGTGGAAGTTTGGGGAAGAAAAAAAAACATAAATCGTGGCAAAATAGCAGTTGCAATGTTTTTCCTCTTCCTTTACCAGGCTCTGTATGACCGAGGCTTTCCTGTTCCTAAACCTGTGGATTATAACCGACACGCTGTAGTGATGGAGCTCATCAATGGATATCCTCTGTGCGTAAACTGGGCGGCCTCCACCCTTGTCCGCAAACGGCAACATTGACGTGTTAAAACTGCGTTCTAATTCAAGCCTATTTTCCCAACGCTGCAGATGTCAGGTGCATGAGCTCCAGGACCCTGCAGCACTGTACAGCGAGTTCATGGAGCTTATCGTCAAACTGGCCAATCATGGCCTGATTCACGGAGACTTTAATGAGTTCAACCTCATGCTGGACGACCAGGACCACATAACGATGATCGACTTCCCTCAGATGGTTTCTACATCACACCAAAATGCTGAATGGTGCGTCCATGCTCCTGAAGATGAGATCAAAAGTTCAAAAGAAAACGGTTGCTCACATCTCCAACTTTTGTCTGCAGGTACTTCGACCGTGACGTCAAATGCATCAGAGATTTCTTTGCTAAGAGATTTAATTATGAGAGTGAGCTCTTTCCAACTTTCAAAGATATCAGGTAACATCTCATCATTTCTCTGATTAAAAAAAAAAAAATGTAAAAGAAAATTTGTGTGAAGCCAAATTTGCTGGGAATTCACAGGATAAATAGATTAGATCAGGGTAAAAAAGGACTGCACATTTCAAATATATAAAATGTTGTTTTCAATTTCAAAACTGTCTCCTGGAATGCCAAATGCCATATTTGTTTATTTCTGTTCGAAAGCGTCAAATCAAATTTCAAATCCAGTTTGGATGTACACTATATTGCCAAAAGTATTTGCTCACCTGCCTTGACTCACATATGAGCTTAAGTGACATCCCGTTCCTAATCCATAGGGTTCAATATGACGTCGGTCCACCCTTTGCAGCTAGAACAGCTTCAACTCTTCTGGGAAGGCTGTCCACAAGGTTTAGGAGTGTGTTTATGGGAATTTTTGACCATTCTTCCAGAAGCGCATTTGTGAGGTCGCACACTGATGTTGGACGAGAAGGCCTGGCTCTCAGTCTCCGCTCTAATTCATCCCAAAGGTGTTCTATCGGGTTGAGGTCAGGACTCTGTGCAGGCCAGTCAAGTTCATCCACACCAGACTCTGTCATCCATGTCTTTATGGACCTTGCTTTGTGCACTGGTGCACAGTCATGTTGGAAGAGGAAGGGGCCAGCTCCAAACTGTTCCCACAAAGTTGGGAGCATGGAATTGTCCAAAATGTCTTGGTATGCTGAAGCATTCAGAGTTCCTTTCACTGGAACTAAGGGGCCAAGCCCAGCTCCTGAAAAACAACCCCACACCATAATCCCCCCTCCACCAAACTTTACACTTGGCACAATGCAGTCAGACAAGTACCGTTCTCCTGGCAACCGCCAAACCCAGACTCGTCCATCAGATTGCCAGATGGAGAAGCGCGATTCGTCACTCCAGAGAACGCGTCTCCACTGCTCTAGAGTCCAGTGGCGGCGTGCTTTACACCACCGCATCCGACGCTTTGCATTGCACTTGGTGATGTATGGCTTGGATGCAGCTGCTCGACCATGGAAACCCATTCCATGAAGCTCTCTGTGCACTGTTCTTGAGCTAATCTGAAGGCCACATGAAGTTTGGAGGTCTGTAGTGATTGACTCTGCAGAAAGTTGGCGACCTCTTCGCACTATGCGCGTCAGCATCCGCTGACCCCGCTCCGTCAGTTTACGTGGCCTACCACTTCGTGGCTGAGTTGCTGTCGTTCCCAAACACTTCCATTTTCTTATAATACAGCTGACAGTTGACTGTGGAATATTTAGGAGCGAGGAAATTTCACGACTGGATTTGTTGCACAGGTGGCATCCTATCACAGTTCCACGCTGGAATTCACTGAGCTCCTGAGAGCGACCCATTCTTTCACAAATGTTTGTAAAAACAGTCTGCATGCCTAGGTGCTTGAATTTATACACCTGTGGCCATGGAAGTGATTGGAACACCTGATTCCAATAATTTGGATGGGTGAGCAAATACTTTTGGCAATATAGTGTATGTTTGCAATCTTTGTCTTGTTGGACACCCAGCTGTGTCCAAGTTTTTTACCATCTACCATGAGCTGGTACAAGTGGTAGCATAACCAACCCTCGGCATGATGCGGTCACCACCATGCATAACAGTTGATACAGAGTTCTATGCTTTGAAAACAGTGGGCTCTGTGTTTTTCCACATGCATTTTATCCAGCTATATCCAATTCTTCAACTATATGCAAAAGCGTTGAATGTACTAGGGGTGGAACGGTTCACAAAATCCACGGTTCGGTTTACGGTTTCGTGGTCACAGTTTTCGGTTCGGTATATGTTGATTGTTACACTGTGTAATTATTTCTTTATGTAATTTTAACTATGGCAGGATTGGTCCTCTATAACTCTCTTCCACAAGGTTTTTGTCGATGTGGGACACTTTAACTGTTAAAAAATGTTGCTTGAAGTCAGGGCTGGGATGGGTCCAGAAATTGTCCCTGGTATTTGGTATTATTTATTATATGTGCAAGCTGAAAGGTTTAAAAAAAAATGAAAACTAATATCACATTAATATAGATGTGAGTTTCTAAAATTACGTGTATTAAGTATCTCCTGCCTCCTGGTCAGGAAGTTGCAAAGTAGTTCTTACAAGTGCTCTGTTTTCTCTCTCAGGCGCTCCTGTTCTCTTGATATTGAGGTGTCAGCAAGCGGCTTTACCAAAGATTTGGAGAAGAGTGCTGAATTCCTACATCCAGCTGGACCTGAAGAAGACGACGACGACGATGAAGAAGAGGAACTAGAAGATGATGATGATGAAAACGGTGAAGGTGAAGCGTCAGACAATGAGGCAGAAAAGGAGGACAGCAGCTTCAACATGGATGAATATAAACATGCAATGATGGAACTGGAGGGACTGAAAGTCAGCGAAACACCTAAGGAGGAGGAAAGGATTAAGGAATCAAAAGAAGCTCCAGAGGAGGCGTCCAAAGCTGGATGCCAGGAGGAAACGGGAACAGAATATGAGGACGAGTTGAAGGAAGCAGAGGATGAGTGTCCAGAGCTGGCTGAGCTTTCTTCCTCTAACAAGGAGTTCAAACCGTTCAGGTAAGATCTGCCATATGCTTACAAAATGGCTCCTTAGAGAGGAAGCGCCTCTTAGATGGAGCCTCAGCTTTTATATCTTAAAATGCTCTAAAATATGTCATAATTTTTACATTTCCCCACATTTGATGCTTGTCTCATACTTAAACAACCAAAACAAAAAAATACTTTTACTAAATTTTTTTTATATATTATTTTTGTTTTTTAATTTGCAGATGTTTTTGCTTTCCTAGTTTTGTAAGTTTTAAGCTAAGAAGCCATATTAGTTATCTGTGTATGGTTAGTTGCTTTCTTCCATGCATGTTGTGTGTCTGCTCCTCAATAGAGATGATACAGTGACTTTAAGCATATCTTGCTCCTACGATTTAGTGTTATCATCATTTTGACTGACCAATATGCCAACTACAACCAGTGGTTGGAATATCAGAAAAATTACTTTATTCATTTCACCCTAAATTTCTTATCCTTTTTATTATTTAAAAAAAAAAAGTCCTTAATCCAGACCAATAATCATATGAGGAATTCTCTTGTGCAAAGTATACATTCAGAATATAATGCCACCTCCTTTTATTTTTCCAGAGACTCGGACAGTCTTCAACAGATTGCTGAACATAGAAGAAGAAGAACCGACAGTGAAGCCACCATGGGAAGCATCGGGAGTTGTTCCACCATTCCTCCTGTAAGTAAAGATTCCCACAGATGCTGGCAGCTTTCACACAAATTCTATTATAGCTACAAATATTCTTCTGATTGGAGTGGTAAAGGAGAAGTCAACCAAAATCTCTTATTTTCTGCATGCTTTGCTACAGATTTCCCACATGTTGTTGCAGTTTTTAAAAAATATATTGCCGTGTTTTGCTTATGTATACACACTGACTATCTTAATGCAATCTGCTGCTGATGTTTGTTCTGCAGGAAGTTGTCCGTCAGAAAGTGCGGCGGCAGCTCACCAAACAGCAGAAGGCGGCACAGAGGAGACGTCTGCAGAAGGGCGAGGCTAACCTGGTCACTAAATCAAGAAGGGAGAACCAAAATAACATCAAGTCCAGCATGGAGACTGCCTCGTTCTGGGGATAATGTGTAATTGCAGGTGGACTGCATCAACCTGTAATCACAATTGTCTTTATTTTAGCATCCTCTGCTCCTTCAGCTAAAGAACTATAACTTTCTCATCATGGCTGGAGAAATGGACACAATGACTCAAACAATAATCATAATAAAAATATATTTCTCAGAAGAGGTCCTTTTTCTGTTCAACCTACTGTTTTGCATAACGGAGCTATAAATATCTTTATTTTATAGATGCAATTTAATTAAGAGTTAAATCCTATGTGATTAAAGTGTGGCTTTGGTTGTAGAAAATTAATATCTAAGTGAAACAATTTGTTGCATAGCTGAACAAGTGTGATGTACAGCTTTTCAAAATGTTTTGTTTTTTTATTTGATAACGTGGATGTTTTAATCAAAATTAACCCTCAATATAAACATGAGTTTTGCGAAAGCTTTCGATAAGACACCTGCTATGTAAAGTAATTAAAGGAAGTAAGTAAAACTTGCTCACTATGAAACTCTGGCTAATTTATGTGTAAGCAGCTTTTATAAAGGAGGTGAATTCACACATGAACAAAAGCCATTCATATTGAAGGGGATGAATGGAGCTCAGACTCTGAACTCGGTGGGTTCAAATTTGAGTGTGAAGTCAGAAATGTTCCAACCCCCACACGTCCTGGTTACTAATCAAGAAGAATAGTTCCTTTGATGCCATTTTTATTATTATTGTAATCTTTGGGGTTTGTAATGGCTTTTATTTTAATTTTTTTTCTACACTTTAGATTTATTTTTGTGTTAGAATAGTTCAGCATTTTTCTTTGAAAAATCTGTGCAGATCCTAAACTTTCCGTCTCTTTGGGGATTAGCCAGCTGCTCAGTCCAGAGAGGAGGGGCTCAGCATTCCTGTCCTGCACCTCTGTGTCTGTGTGCTGAGGGGCCCTCTGAGCTAATTGGTGCAGAGTCACAAAGATGGTTTGCTTCAAAAGAGAAACCCTGATGGGATGTTCACACTGGAGAGGAGGATACTACTTTATATTCTGCATTGAGATGTTACCAGTGGGTCATAGTTTCTAGTTTTGATGATTTGATATAAACATGGATGGAATGTTTTGGAAGCAGCAGCAGAACTGAACTTTGGATGACGATGAGCTACATGCAGTTGGAGACAGATATCATGACGTACCTGTCGCAGAGTGAATCGGATGACGGACTCAAAGATTGTGAGTTTCTTCAAAGGGGAAACTTCTTTTGACCTGCCTTTATAAATGGGTCTCAGTTTTGACCCAACATTGTTTGTTTTTTTTGCTGAGGGGTAATCTAGATTGTTGTTTTTTTACTTCCATTCTGTTAACCTGTATTTGTGGAAGAGAAGATAATTAGAAATATAATTGAGAACACTGCATGAATTTCAAGATATTTTCTGCAACAGTTTGATATTTGAAAAAAAAAAGATGCATCTGTCACCGTTTTCATCAGCTTTCCCATCAACACCTGAATCCTTAATGGCTTTGGGTTCAGTTAGATTCATACAATTTAAAGTTTTTTAATCTGCCCAAATGCAAAGCAATGTGTCTTTTGACATTTCTTAATCAAAATTATATATCTGAATAGTAGCTTTAAAACTAAGTCTAATTTCAAAATGTTGAAGAATAGTCTATTAGCTTTAATTGTGGCAGACAAGCACTTGGGTCTGTGCCTGCTGTTTTGAAGTGCTTGATAAATAAAGCTGGTCTAGCTTTTAAACAAGTGGATTAAAAGCCTTGCTGGCTGATGCAAAATGAACTCCAGTAACCTACACTGCACAAAATGAATGAGACTGGAACATTAAAACCCTTAAATGGGTCAGAATATGGTGATCAGGGTAAAATGCAGTCTAGGTTTTTTATTTAGGTTTTTAATCCATCCAAATATACATTTAACATTGTTAAAGTATATAGAGAACAAAAATATTTAGTAAAAATGTGATTACAGAGTAATTTATGATTTGACTGGATTACTTTAGGAATGATATTAATGTTTGAACATCTATCTGTGTGCAGTTAATGTGGTGGGTATTCTGCATAACTTCTGGGAACAGAAGCAAACAGCTCAGTCAGATGATTCCACAGCCGAGTTGGAAAAAATTTGTGGGAAATCTGGCAGCCTAACAGATAGTCTGCTGTTATACGAGTCGGCACCTTCCGCTGGTCCCCCTTATGTCTGCTATGTCACATTGCCTGGAGGGAGCTGCTTTGGCAACTATAAGGTGATTTCATCCGCCAAATGCCTTTACTTTGAAATGCTTCTGTATCATAAATACATTTGGTTCTATGTCAGCATATGTTTTGTGTATGTTCAGGTTTTGTTCGTCCTGATTAAACGTATCAGTTATTAACTTTGAAACATTGGTATTGTCATTTGTCACCTGAAAAAGTGTGACTTTTCTCTATTAAGATGATATGTAGAGAATATCACTAAACATCCTGACAAAAACCTACACAAGGTAAGGGTTTTATAAATAGTTGAGTTAAGTTTTGACTGCTCTTATCTGGCAGGAGATACAGTATGCCAAGATGGAAGATATACGTTGTACATTTTGAAGCTATCATGTTTTATTCGATTATTAAATAAAAATAAAAAATCAAATAAGGGGCTTGTGCTCTGAGAAGGTTGCAAGTACCTGGTTCGATCCCCACAGCCTGCAATCAGGGTTCCTGAGCAAAACCCTTATCCCCAAACTGCCCCAAAGTTCAATTATTATTGTTATTATTATCATTATTGGTCTTATTGAATTGTTTTTAGTTTTTGTCTATAGTTTTCTTACTTTATATAATATAGTTTTAATGGCTGTTTCATATAAATTATGAAAACTAGGGATTAAAGAACTGAATGAAGAACAGTTAATCTCCCTGGTCCTGTTTCAGGCGTGAACATCATTTCAGAACATCATTGTCTTTATATGTCCAATATACTACTTTTAGATATGGTTCAGCTTCCTGAGTATTATTACATAATCAACCATTTTTAAGCACACACTGTTTAATACGCTCAGTATAATAATCAGGTACAGCTGAATAAAGTCAATGAAATTGCAGAAGAAATCCAAACTATTGAAACGTTACAGAAAAAATTGGATATTGGAAGCACAAAGAAATTAGGAATTATTTATTATTACTTCACAGTACCGTACATTTGGATCACTTACTGATCACTTGTATAGCTGTTCAGATCAGATCTTTTTTTGCCTCTCAGGGGCCTTATTGGCCTAGAAGGGCTCTTGTAATTGTGATTTATGTCTGCAATGTTCTAATCTTGTTAGTGCTTTGAGATCTGATCCCATTAGAAAGTTTATGTTTGTCTACTTCGCATTGTAAAATACTAATTTTATTTTTTACATCTCAGCTCTTTAATTGCCTCCTCAGGTGTGTGACACTCAGGCAGAGGCACGCAGGGATGCAGCCCGTGTGGCTCTGATGAACTCAATGGTGAATGAGCTGCCGTGTCGCTGCATCACGGCTGAGTTCATCACTCACAGTCTGAACCAAGCTGCCACAGAAAGCTCAGTGGGTGTTTGCAGCTACCAATTTCTTTAGGTTTATTTGTACTTAAAATTAGTATAACTCTACCCTGACGTCTCTGTTCAAAGGTTCCTATGGAGGATGCATGTGACTCAAGCACCAGCTTAGGAACCTACAGTGTGCTGCTTCAGTCCTACATGGGACGGACCATGCTGGAGTTTCAGGTAAAAAGCTACTAAAAACTTTTTTCAGCTCTACATATTACTTAGACTTAGACAATCTTTATTGTTATTTTGTACACACAGAGTGTATACAAAACGAAATTGTGTTTTGTACATCTTTCATGACATTTCCATTTCTTAAGGTGCAGCAGTGTTCAAATGTAAACATTGTGGGAGAAAAAACATGGTGCAAAAATGCATTGATATGGAAGTTCAGAGCATTAAATATATGTGATGCAAATATGCAGTATTTTGGTATAGTGTTATCAGTGTCATGCAGAGTCTGTGACATGATTTAGAGTCTTCTCAGCAGTTCAGCTGACTGATGGTAGTGGGGAAAAGGCTGTTTCAGAAGCTGCTGGACCTGTATTAAATGCTGCAAAGCCTCTTCCCAGAGGGCAGCAGGGAGAACAGTCCATGGTGGGGGTGTGAGGGGTCATTGATCAGGTTTCGGGCTTAGGACACTCAGCGCTGGGATGCAATGTCTTTTAATGGAGAGAATCCCAAATATTCATGTGGTTTATGTAACTATTTATTTGTAAATGTGTTATACCTACCTGTAGTTTAATGTAGTATAACATAGCTACTTTGTAAAACATGAGCCCTGAAGCACCAATTGTGGGTTTTTATTTGTAGCTGGGAACCTTGTCCAAGTAGATAGCAAAAATACACTGGAACAAAGTTTCAGTTAAAAACATAATCGAGCAGCATATAGATACTGCTGTAAGGAGAACTAAACCTCTGCCCCAAAAGAAAAATGTTATCCAACATTTTCTTATTCTAAATAATTGTATAGTTATATTTTGACTTTATTAAGTCTATTAACCTTAACTGTTGGTGGTATTTATACCTTCTAACGGCATCATTACATCTCCAGTCTGTTCTTTACTGAAATATTTCTCATCGACCTTTAACCCTGGCAGGGAAACTGAGGCAAGAACACCTTAGCTTTCTACTGACTAAATAAACACATCCACAGACATGAAGATAATATGCAGTTAATTAGCACCATTATCATAATTATACCCACATGTCCATATATGTTGATATCTGGACATACCGACGGTGTAAAAAAGAAGCTTCACCTTCATAGATTTTATGTTTATTGTCAGTGGAAGATGAGTTGCATATGTTACATGTACCAACATAAACAACAAACTTCTGTCTTAACCAAAATAATCCAGTCTTTTCTATCTGCGCCTCATTAAATCAGTTAAATCCAATCTAAACACAGCGTTTAACCCTAGCATCCCCCGCTCTTAATGTTTGGACAGGTGCTGTTTTTATAAGTGCAGGTCAAACTTGTGCTTTGTGACATCTCTCAAACCAACTATCCACGGTATTAAAATGTCAACAGGTTTCTCTACAGGTACAATGCATTTTATTTGTATTATCTGTAAAAGACAAACACAATGCAGTGGTTAAATGTCGACATAAAGAATACCTACAGCAAAAATTATCTGAAAATGTGGCATAAATATCTACTCGTTCCCTCCAAAGTTAATATTTCCTGCAACTATCTTGTGCTGCAATTACAGCTTCAAGCCCTTTAAAATGTATCTTTAGATACCATGCATGTATACAAAAAGTTTTATAGCATTGCTCAGGATTTTATTTAAAAGAATCAGGATTAAGGCAGGGGATTAAAGGGAAACTGAAAGCCTTATACCTTATACTTTTCCTTCTTGTCCAAAATACTTTGTGCTTGTTTATCCCATAAAGAAATAACTTTAACAAAATACATCCTTGTTGTGGCTTTATGAATACTTAAACAATTCACAGTTTTGAAGATTGCTTTTTTTTTAAAAGAAAAGCCTGGTTTCACCCTCCTTATCCTCATTTTCTTTAGGAGATGATGACAGTTTTCCAGCTTTTGCACTGGAATGGGACACTGAAGGCTCTGAAGGAGAAGAAGTTTTCCCGGCAGGTAAAAGTTATACAAAACAACAATGGAGAAAAAAGTAGTGGATTAGCAGGGATTAGCCTTATTGTAAAACTATTTTAAAGAATAAAATATTAGATTATTTAGGTAAAATGGTGTTTTCATAAAACAGCTCTATAGTTTGGACTACTTAATTAGTCTGTATTTTTCTATCTCTCTTTATTGAAAACAGTTATTTCAGTTAAACTTTTGAAATTTTGAGCAAAAGTCCCATATTTGAAGCATATTTCCAACATTTCTGTTGTTATTATGCTTCATTGCCACCTATTTCATATGCTATTTTGCAGTTGTAAATCCATCTCCATTTTGTTCCAGAGTGTGATTACGTACTACTCCCAGCGAGGGTTGGATGAGTCAATGCGGAGCAGCATGGCTCTGGATTGGCTGGGAAAGGAGCAGAAAGCTCCTGGGTTGCTGGCAATGGAGCTGCAAATGGCGCAGAGGGCGCTAGTGTTGGCACGACGCCGAGGCATAGAGCTGCGCTTTTACAAAGAAAAAACAGAGATCCTCAGCTTAGCCCTGAGTCAAGCATATATTCACCACACACCCGAACTCTTCAGCCCGTATCTAGGCCAACAGGAACAACTCCCTTTACACATTTTATACAGGCGAGATACGGATGTTCAGACACCCCTGCAAACTTCTACCTCAGACATGCCCTCCAACAGTCCCGCACTATATTCACAGTGCATGTTCATGCCTTTAAATAACCCTGAATAAAGGGGGTTAAAAAAGCACAGAGCATGAATTAGTGATGCCGTGTCAGTGGCACCGGAGTTTGTGATACATGCTAGTGGGTGTTATGTTTCTAGTTCCTTTATTACTGATTTAAGCACTCATTAAGAAGCTGAGATTTTAAACGTACATCATTAACAGTAGAAAACCACTCAATGTTCAAAATCCAATTATATGATACCATAAAACCTAACTGACATGTGCAGCTTTAAAAATAAAAGCAGTTTCCATTAATCTGAAATAAATTTTAGGAGATGTAGCATCAATTATACTCTAACCTAAAGGCATGCTGGTTCTTCTGCATTTCCATTGAGCATTGACTCTGTTGCCATGTGTTTATTTCTACTTTACAACACAGTTTTACCTGTAACTTATAAAAGTTTTGTTTTTTTCTATTATTTTTTTTTTTTACTCACTAAAAAGGTCAGTGGTGTTATATTTACCTTTATACCAAGTCAGAAAAAGTTGTTACCAGATGCTGCAACAGTCTTTTATAAATTTGTCTAATAACAGTTTCCCGATATCTTAAAATGGTGTGTGTAAAGGGAATGTTGTCTTTTACTTTAGGTTGTTGAGCACAATCGGTTATTGTTTACCAGATCGGTGTTTACCAACATGTTCAGTTTTAGATTAACAAAATAATTGCAAAAAGATTCTTAAACTATAGTTAAAGTCATGCAGTGGAAATGTTTGTATTCAGTCCCCTTTTAATCTGATGCCCCCAAAAATTCTGTGCAAGGAATAAACTGCAGAAGTCACTAAATTGGTCAAAAGCATCCACCTGTGTTTGTGTAATTTACCCTCAGTTTAACTCCATCTGTTCTGTGAAGGCTTCAGGTGTTTGTCTGAAAACATAAATAACCATCAGCATTGTGGAAACTAAGGGACACGGCTGACAGGTCAGGAAGGAAGTTCTATTAAGGCAGTGGTTCTCAAACTTTTTCTGTCATTCTCCACTTTGGACAAGGGGGAATTTTCAAGCCCCGCCTGTCCCCATCGCCCCAACACAATGCTAATGAAATATGCAACAATCTTAAAATGTTCCAATTTTATTGAAGTAACAAGTAGTATCTAAATACAAACTATCTACATCAAATAACAGCAAGCTAAAAAAAAAGAAAATAAAAATGCAGCTGTGTCAAAATTTGTATCAAGCTCAAAGATAGAAAAAATTTAAGTGCCACTCTGCAATCTGTTAATCAAAGAAAAGAAGTTAAATCCATCTGGCAAGACAGGTCTATTTATCCCTGCATTAGTGGCTGCAATGAGCCTGTTTTGCATTGCACTGTTTCTCAAAACGGGGTTGCAGGCTTGATACTGCCACTCTCAAGTCATGCTCAATGTTCAGCTGAGATCTGTATTTTGTTTTCAGTGAAGGATGTGAGATATGACACTATGGCGGAGTTACAATTTTTTAAAAACTTTTTTAAATGTTTTCTTTTTTCCCTTTTGGTCCACCAAGGAGCCTACAAATCACGGTAAAACATGAACATGTGGCTGTGTGAATCAAACGCCGTTATTTATTTAAGATAAAATATTTCAAATTCAGTTATTTATGATCAACCTGCGCCGTCAATCCCGGCGCATATGCGCTTTATTTGCAGTCTGGACGCTGAGGGTAAACATGCTGTGTGTCTGACTGCAGCGCTGAGAGGGACTCCTGCGATAGCGGGGGAGAATGGGGTTGGGACGGAGGAGGCGCCCCACGGCAGCACCTGCCGCTGGAGGACAAGAAAAGGAACGATACGTGCTTTCACGTAAGAGTCTCCAAAAGTCGCTAATTTGTCGCTAGTCGCTTTTTTGAAAAAGAGTCGCTGGAGGGGTCTGAAATATAGCGACAAAGGCAACACTGGGGCGCGAAAGTTTATTCCGTTACAAATAATATGCCGACGTCACGTCAATCATTATTTTGGCACTTCAGTTCCAGGTGAAATGTTTCTCATATCTAATGTTCTTTTAATTAGACTGCATGTAGGCTAGTAATGATTACTTTGTGGGTTTGATTGGTCTAAAAAGCGGCAACATACAGCTATAAGGACAGTTTGCTCTCACATGTTCTACATTTATAGTCACACAACACACACACACACACACACACATCGGAACTTGGCGCGCCCCACCTGTCACGTCTCAATTCCCCACCAGTGGGTCGCGCCACACACTTTGAGAACCGCGGTATTAGGGTATGAAATTAGATGATAATTTGTGATCATTTTACGGAGATCTGTTAAATTCTTCATCAGAGATGAGAAGAGTATTGTATAACTGCAAAGCTACTTGGGCATGAGTGATATCTAAATTGAAAGAGCGGGGAAGAAGAGCATTAGGGAACCAAGCAAGTGTGTGGAAGAAAGTGCTCATTTCAGATGAGACCAAAGGAGAATATTTTTTGGAGAACAAGCAAAATTCTTAATGTGATGAACAGCTAACATATTATGTCCACCTTAAGACACCATCCTCATACTGAAACAAGATGGTGGCTGCATCATTATGTATGTATGTTGTTCTTCAAATATTGGAAGAGTGGTGTAAGTTTATAAAGAGATAAATGGAAGTAAACATGATTAAGGACTTAAAGAAAGACTATTAAATACTGTAAATGAATTAAGGACCAATATGCTGCATCCTTTCAGAGCGAAATGTCCCAACATATAGCTAATACTACAAATAATGGTTTGGGTACCCCGCCTCTCACCCATTGACTGCTGCAGAGAGGCACCAGCGCCCCTCGCAACCCCAGCGGGGATAAGCTCGATGGGAAGTCCAATAGCTACATTTGCCTTATTCAAACCCAGAGTTAGATCCTATCAAAATTCTTTTGAAAGACAAAAAAAAATATTTTTTTCTTCTATCTGGCTGATCTTAAGCTGATTGCAATAAAGAATTGACAACATTTTCAGTGTCTTGAAATACAAGCTGTGTCGTGGAGACATAGCCTACTCATAAGGAGTTTTATTTGTAATAAGATGATTGCAATTATCAATTAACAATTATCGGCCTCAGTGGCTGAATACAAAGGCACACTAAACAGCCAAAATATTTTCATTTGTAAAAAAAAATGTACAAAACCTGTGTCATTATCCTTTAATGTTATTGTGCATTATTTGTTCATCTGCAAAATAAAATCCTGATAAAATCTATTGAAGGCTTTTGTCTGCATGTCTTGTGTTCTAATTGATACAGAAATACTGGCAGTTTTATAATATAACATAAAAACAGGGTGGTTGTTTCTGGGTTTTTGGGGGGTTCATTTTTTTTTTTTTTGTTCTATTTTTTTAGACATAACTTTGATGTAATTTTATTATGCATTTAGTTGTAAAATGGTCGAATTTCCTTTTTTTATATAAATTTGTGTTATTACACATTCTTCTTAATTCCTTACTTTTTTTAAATGTAAAAAATGTGCCGTTTTAATTTTAAAGAGTTTTAAACATAACCTTTGAGGACAGTGTTTGAGTTTGGTAACGTTTGGCTGCTCCCGTTTGCCGTAGAGAGGTGGAGTTTTCACGTGCCTGCAGATTGCGATCTTGTAGTTCCTGGAGCAAACAAAACAAATGACAGCTGACCACCACACTGGGGTTTCTGCCGCGTGACAGTGTAGTTTATGAGTTTTAGTGATATTTTAATGATTAAAGAAATAGGCAGGAAGACCCAGAGACGTGTGGGTAGACATAAATGAATATATGTTTATCATTACGAGCGAAGATCTGGGGATTAGCCTAGCTTAGTTAGGTATCAACAGACACTGGTTTCGTTTTCTTAAAAACAGTGGATACGATGTTAGGCATTCAGATGTCTCACTAAATATTATCCAACGGGGGATACATATGTCGCTTTTATATATGTAAAAACTTGTTTTTAACTCGGCTGCACATCCGGAACTTGACTGACTGTTCCAGCTGCTGCTTATTGTTTATCTTGAGAGCAGACTATGACTTGTTGTTATGCGATCATTGTCTCCACGCTTCTAAGAGGACTCGGTGCTGCTTCGATCTGAGCTGATGGGATCAGGCCGCAAAAAATGGAGGCTGTGAGACCGAAGAAGACCAAAACAAAAACCAGCGGAAAATCTCAGGTGATTACCCCAAACAGCACTGTCTTCTCTGAAACGTTTTATTCTGATCCAGTAGATAAAAAGGACCCTTTGCAACCTTCATCTGAGGAACGAAGTAAAGAGAATAAACTGAATGATCGTTGTATTTTACAAAGATAGTCAAATAAATGAACAGATATTACTAGTAATACCTCTTACTATATGCTGTCATTATTTAAAAACATTAATATTTGTTTATCCAAAATAAATGGCATCTAACAATAATTATTTTTTCACGATAATTGAATTATAACTAAAGTGTGCTAAGATATATTTACATCATGGTTATGTTCCTTAATTAGCAAGTTAAATCCATTGATCACAATATCTTTGTAGATTTTAATAATATTTTCATTAAACATCTTGGTAGGATTGATAGATTTTGATTTGAATGGTTGAACTTTTAAGTACATTTCACAACTTGTCAGTATAGTTAACATCAGGGCTTGCAGAAGCATCAAGTTTGCCTGTTTGTCCATCCCAGAGCCCGTCTAGATGTATGTTGGTGGAACAGTGGCGGTTCTAGATAATATTTACTAGCCAGGTGGGGGCCACCATGTCTTCATGTGGGCACAAAAAAGCATGAACCAGTAACAAAGGGCCAATAGTTTATCATTTAAAATATATTATTAGAGTCAGAGAATAAAAGAGCCACTTATGGCTCTGCTATGAATGAAAGTAAATTTCTACATCATTTAGTTTAATTAAAATTATATGTTCTTCCAATTGATTTGATATATATATATATATATATATATATATATTTTTTTTTAGTTTAGTTTTTTTTTTAGCTTTTACAGCACTAGCGTCTCGTTTTTATGGACAGTAGGCTGACAGGAAAGGGGGTATGAGAGAGGGGGAGAGACATGCAGGAAAGGACCACAGGCCGGATTCAAACCCGGGTCGCCTGCGTCCAGGGCTAAATTTTACTTACCGTACCCCAAATTAGAATTTCCCTTTCTTGCATTTCTGCAGATTTCCTGTTATGACAGGCTGTAGCCGAGGAAGATCCATGATTGTTTCATGTCTTTTTTTAAACACCAGGTTTATTAGTTAAAACACAGTAAATATTTGATATTCTTTGGTCTGTGGATATATGTATGACATAGTTTTTATTATTAAAGAAAATGTTTATGTTTTCAGTTGGGAAAAAAGCAGAAGCAAGCAGAGGAGGAGAAGAAGTCTCCATGTCTACCAGCCGTCTGCGATGATGCTTACACCTCTGGCTTCACGGAGATCCCCCTCAGTCTGCCCCCTTGTCCACCTGAGGAGGCAGAAGAGGATCAAGAGAATCTTGTCCAAACCACCGAAACATCAACACAGCCATCAGAAAAGCCCACAGAGAAACAAGAGACTTCCTCAGCACAGACTAAAAATACATCAGAACTGATTGAGACTCTACAGTCAGGTTTGAAGCTGTCAGAGACGCCATTAGAGACAGTGCAACAGACTGAGTCAAACAGGGTGGAAAAAGATGATGGTGTGGAAGCTCAGGGTGCTGCGCTGGAAGCTGCATCACAAACTGCTACATCAGGAAAAGATGAGCAAATGTGGAAACAGCCTTTTTTAACAGCTCAGTTTGGCAACCCAAGTGCTCCTGCGCTGTACCCATCTCTTCCGGTCCTGGAGGAGGATTCTATGATGCAGATCTACGACAAAGCAGTGAAAAACTGTGCCAGGGAACCAGCAGTGTTGGCACTACCGGAACAAGAATCCTCTCCTCTGTGTTTGCATCCTTTGAAATCTGTAACTGAGCTTTCAAGGAGCAAACTGTACCCAGAATTGCCAAAGACAGCCCCAGAAATGCAGGTAATCTCAACGAAT